GGCCCCGCCGCCGCACAGGCCGGCTCCAGATGGGGACGGCTTTGCCCAAGTGTCGGAACTGGCGGTCCCTGAGGTCCCCAGGACGGGTGGTAGGGAGTGAGGCAGACTGCGCGCTCTCTGCCCGCAGGGTTCTGTGATTAAAAAAGAAACAAATAACCCTCCTACGTGGACTTGTCTGCGTGTGTGTGGACACGGATGAAGGTGTGAAATGCCCCCTGTGCCGTGCGGGGACACAGGAGGCTCCAAAGCAGTGCTATTTATTATTCTTTTTTATTTATCAAAATCGCCATTTGCAGCTGTAGGAGAGGTACATAGATATCTGACTACGCTCAGTGGAAACCACCCAGCACTAGCTCATTGACAAAGGCCTAAAAGCAACTAGAAAGCCACAGATTGCCTGAGATTCTTACACCTGGAAGACTCGGACAGGTAGGCCATGACGGTTTCCAGGTGGGCACATTCTCCCACTAAGTGTCGTTGTCCAAGACACCGTGAAGACATTCTGAACCATATGCTAATTTTGATATTCACAACAATGAAAAGATGCGATATCCATCTTCTATTTTCCATGCATTGCTGAGTTCTGATATGTTTAAGAATTGTATTGAAATGATGTTCAAGAAATACTACAGATAAAAAGCATGAGGGATTTATTATTAACCCTATCTTGAAGAAAAACTGATATTTTAAAGTAAAAGACTGGACTGAAGCTAAACAAAGTTGTACTGCATGAGGGTAAAAGTAGTTTACAACTCTAAGTCGGTTTAAGTTTCCACTCTATATTTAACTCTTGGTTTTCCCTTTTTAAAGTATTAAATTGTTTTTAATGACACTATTAAAAAAGTAAGACCCTGTCAGCACTGATTCATGGGAACAAATACATAAGAACAAACAAGGAAAGATATTGTAAAATATCCACTTATTAAAATGCTTTAAAATGTTTTCTTAAATTATATATATATATGGCATTATGAAGACCAGGTTCTAACACCAACCAACTGTAATAAACCTTTTCCTGCCTCAGTTTACACAGACTCTAGAATAAAAGAAGTACCAGGAAAAAGATTAAAACATCTAAGGAAAACAAATGATACAAACATACCAACAATATTTGATGACCAGTAGTTCACTTAATTTTCTAGACACTAATCTCAGTAAGTTAATCAAATTTTTAAATGTTTCAGTCTTATAATTGCATAAATCATCTTAAGTCCTTTTAATAAATGTATCGCTTCAGAGGATGGTCTTTCCCAGAAAGTGAAAAAAAAAAAAAAGATGTAATAAAAATACAGATAATGAATTTTATAGCCTACGTGTAGTGGCTCTGCATAGAAAGTTAAGCTGGTTAGTTAACCTAGAAAGTTAAATAACTAAGCTCCCCTTGCCTAGCCCATGGGTAGAAGGTCAGTGGGTGCAGTGAATTTTTTAGACAAGAGGAGAAAAAAAATTGTAGAGGACAAGTTTCCATTAAGAATCTACTAGTGGGCTGGGGATGTGGCTCAAGCGGTAGCGCACTCGCCTGGCATGCGTGTGGCCCGAGTTCGATCCTCAGCACCACATACCAACAAAGATGTTGTGTCCACCAAGAACTAAAAAATAAATATTAAAAAATTCTCTCTCTCTTTTTTTTTTAAAAAAAGAATCTACTAGTTTACTTAAAAAATGGAGAGATATATCTTTCAACTCTATTTTCTTCATTATAGTCCCATTTTTCTGGTATTTGGTCAAATTTTAGGTTACCTGACAGAATTTCCAAGAAGCAAGTTTTTACAGAGTAATGATATAAGTGGCTTTTAAAATACAAATTTAATCTTACTTGTTTAAACAAAAATTAATCATCCAACTCGGAAAGACATCTGTGGTTAAATGTGTTCACTGGCACTTGGTAACCTAAGATGATGCTGGTGAAAATCTTAAAAGCTCCATCTTATAGACATAAGTTGATTTGCTGAAAGGAAATAAACCACTTTCGTGGGAAGTTATTAAAAGGGAAATTACATCTTGTCAAAATTAGTCACTTACCTTTTAATGTGTTAGAGAATGACTTTGTATTGTTTTTATGCAATATTATGTGGCGACGTTAAGTTAAAATGTGCTTGTATTTTTCCTGATAGTCATTTGTACCAGATTTAAGTGAAATGTGGCCATGAGTCTTCTCCGACTCCTTGCAATCTCCGTTCCAGGTCCTCCTTCACAGAGGTGGCCCTCCTCAGTGGGCCTTTTTGAGGTACCTGCTCCTCTGGAAGTGCTTTCCCCTAACAAAACAGCTCCCTCTGCTACCACGTTTCCCATTTAGAAAACTGACCAGCAAAACTATTGCTTCTCTTGATGTCACCTCCCAAAATTTCCCTGATCTCTCATAAGGGGAACCTTGATTTCAGCTCCTATCTTTAACTTGATATCTTCTGAAAGTACCTTTTTCCCCTCTGTAGTTCTAGGCCCTTGTTGTTAAGCACCTGTCTTGACTTGATTCTAGCTCCCACTTCCGAGCACTGAGCCCTGTGCTTGCATATAGCAGATGCTCAGTAAATTCTTTTGACTGGATGGAAGGTGTATTCTACAGGGGCCCTAGCACGCAGCTCCCATAGCTGCTTTCCTACCCGGTTGCCACAGACAATAGACAACTGATGAGTTTTACAGAGCAGAAATTCCATGACTTGGAGGCTTTGAGGGTTTCCATCTCATCCTTCATCCTTTCTTCTAATAATAAAGGTACAGTCCCAGAGAATGGGCTAGAGAAGAGAGAAGTGTGCTTGCCTTGTCCCTAACAGAGATCTTGATCTCCTGGACAACCATCCACCTGCCAGCCACAGAACAAAGGTAAAAGGAATGCAGGAGGCATGATGGGAACCAGCTGTTAAAGGAACCAGCTGGGCTGGGCTTGACTCCCACCCCTGTTTCCACAGCTCTGTCAAACAGAGGGACTAGGGAAAAGATGAGGAGCTATTAATATAGCCAAGACAGGAACAAGCAGTTTGCATATACTAGCCATGACTTCTCTGCCTCAGGTCCTCTCCTGCTGCAAAAGGTATGTTTGTATGCACAGTTTGTATGACATTTAATATATGCCAGTATATAGAATATATGTAATCTTGCCAGGGACTAGTATTTTAGGACACAAACTTCTATTAAATTTTATTTACTAAGAAACATATACCAAATGGAAGGAAAGTATGACTTGAAAATGCTTTACCCCCAGTAAAAATAAGAGAAACAAAAGGAGTTTAGAGTTCCTGAATCCCTGAAAGTGAAATATCCAAGAACTTTCCCCAGGTGAAATCTCTTCTTTATCTGCCACCATCTCTGAAAATAAAAAGTACCAAATTATATGGTTTTACTTGCTTTTGAAAATGCTGTGCAACTCAAAAGCCCTTTTTAAAAGGGCTCTTGACATTTGCAGCAGTTCTATGAGAAGTGAAGACGTGGCCTGAGCCCTTCTCTTACAATGAAGCTCTGAGGCACCCTTTCCACATGTGTGTCTGCTCTAAGTACACCAACGGCAGATGGATGACCAAGAGGAAAGAGGCAAGCAGGGTGCAGTGACACACCCCTGTGATCCCAGCAACTGAGGAGGCTGAGAATTTCAAGTTCCAGGCAAGCCTCAGCAACTTAGGCCCACCCTGTCCCAAAATTTAAAAAATAAATAAAATAAAAAGGACTTGGGATGTAGCTCAGAGGTAAAGCACCCTGAATTAAATCCCTAGTATTAAGAGAGAGAGAGAAGATGTGAAATTTTAGGATGCTGGCAGCAACCCAAACTGATGAGTGTTTGGACAGATGTGCCTAGTGATAAGAAGGGCTGAAAGGGAAGCCCTGCTGGACTCTGGGCCAAAGCTGGCATATCCTGTAGGAGCTGGGTTTCTTGGTGGTGGGGGGAGGCCTGGAAATGCTCAAAGGGAGAAGAGAAACTACTGCCCACTGCAACCTGGAGCTGTGACTCTCAAGTCTCACAAGTCGTGGTAAGAGAAGAGAAAATCCTGACACAGCCTTCTGACCAGAACTGTGCTATGCCAGCCAGAGAGCACATTTGATTCCTTCAACTATGACAGCAGGACTGCTCCTAGTGACAGACTTGTTAGCCAGAGAGAAGGGAAGCAAAAAGACAGACTCCCCGTAAGCTGGCAAACCGAGAGCTCCAATGTGCATGAGTAGCTCAAACGCTAACAGACCATCCAAATCAGGATGAATTCAATTCCAGATAGAATAAAAGCAATGGAGCATTCTGAAAAGAGCTTTAAAATAAATATGTTTAAAACCCTTAAATAAATATATGAAAGAATATCCACGGAGAGGGATAAGAAATTATAAGATGACTGGCAACAGTGAAATTTATTTTAAAGAACCAATTGGAAATCCTAGAAATGACAAAATTTACTAATTGACATCTTTTTAAAAATCCAATTTCAGAGGACTGCATGGAGGGCAGGGAAGCATCATCACTGAGATAATGGCTGGGAATCTTCCAGAGGGGAAGAAACCCCTGAGTCTACAAGTCCACAAAGCTATCAAACACTAGGTATGATGGATGGAAGTAAATCCATGTCTGAGCAAATTGCAGTTCCACTAGAGGGTCAGTTCAGTCAAAGGGGAACATTAGAAGTTACCTGAAAAAGAAAAAATCCCTGTGAATGAAGGAAAGCAGCCAACGGGATGAGGAACGTAGGAGTGCATGCGTCTCTGGGCTTGGGCTGGGTAGCTGAGCTGAGAAATCCAAGGGCAGGGTGGCCGCTGGCAACTGGCTCACTTCACTTCACCAAGCTCCAAATGCCTGATTCCAGAAAAACCGTTTCCTGATTTTAGCACCACTGTGGAGGGATGAGAGATGCAGCTCTGTGCAGGCTGCAGAGGATGCGACTAGCAGGGAATGAGGCACTTACATTAGGTGCTGGGTTCAGCTCAGTGACTCCAACAACTGGTTATCAGCAGGACTTTATGGGGAGGATTTTCAATTACTTTTATTATAGAAATCTGCAGTGCCATCATGGGAGAGCAAGCCCTCATACAACCCTTCTCCCTGCCCACTCATCACCTGACTTCACCAGTTAGCACCAGCCTGCTTCACTTATTCTCTCTCCTCTTGCCTTGTCTGGATTATTTTAAGGCAGAACTCAGACTTCACATAACTTTGTCCATAAGTGTGGCAGATGTATCTTCAGAAGGTAAGGACTCTAAAAATGCATTTTTTCCTAGTATCATTATCTCACCCTGAAGATGAGCAATAATTTCTTAAAATCATCAAATATCAAGTCAGTGTTCACATTTCCAGAATTTGTCTTGTTTTGTTTTGCAGTACTGGGATGGAACCCAAAGCCTTGCACATGCCAGTCAAGCACTCTCCCACTGAGCTATATCCCAGCCCTCCAAAGACTATAAACCTACCCATATATCCCCTGGACCCAACCCTCACATGGAGAACCAGTCTCAGGCCTCTAGGTATTTCAAGCCTCCCTAAGTGAGTCTGAGATTCAGTCAGATTTGAGAATTCCTGGCAGAGCTGGACTTTCCCGTCCTGTTTAATGTAAGACTGCATCACTTCTCCCACATGACACACCTCTCTCCTCTTAGGTGAGATGCTTTCCTTTCTGTCACTGCACCACAGGGAAATCAGCTGCACTCTGGTGCTGGCAGAAGAGGGCACTGGCTTAAGAGGCAGCTCCCAGGTTTGAGGTCCATCTCTGGCACTATTATAGGACAATAAGCAGGTCCTTGTAGCTCTCTGAAACTCACTTTCCTTGGAAAATGAACAACGATGGCATTGTACCTTGACTGCCCTCCTTTCCCAGCTGCCGCAAGGATCGAGTTAAGGGAAGGCACATGAATACATGGAGTGTTCATTGACAAAGAAACACTCCCTTCCAGCGTGGAGCAAGGGCGCCACGCAGGCGGCCCTGAGTTTTCTTCATGGACTCAAACGTGAGGGAAACAGCACAGAGACATTTACACATGCGCATGGAGGAAAAATCATTAAACTTTAACTTTTATGCATATTTTATGTTTAATTATTAACAGGCACTATGTTAGAACTTGTACTTGTTCAGAATATTGCAGCAAACCTCTGAAGTCTTGGAGGGCTTTAAGTCATAGAATACCATAACAACACCGTAGTTTTTTATTATTATTTTGGAAGGGAGGGGTGTGTATTTTGCAATTGTTTTCATTGAAGTAAATTGTCTATAGTGAATTTGGTATATTAGACCTTGTTATCTTTTTAAATGTATATTCCATGGAGGAGGAAACTTGCACCCACCTAGCTCATCCCCCAAACCAGCCCCCAACATGGCCAGCTGCATTCTAGTTGTCTCGATTGCAAAGGTTTCTGCCAAGCTGCTGTCCCCACCCAACCCTACCTCCTCTGGCATCACACATCTGCCAACTCCTCTCTGCATGCCTAGGTCAGCAACTTGTCTCCTTGTTCCTGGTGCTTCTCCCTCCTTCCTATTGTGTATATCCACTGGTCACAGAAACTCTCTATCACAAGATGCTGTGATTGTGTTCTCTCCTGCTCTCTTTCCCTGTACAAACCCTTCCAACCCAACACTACTCTGTCTCTTGGTGTGCTCACCCCAATAAAAGCCTAGCGTCAAAGCCAGCTCAACGCAGTTAATTTTTTAGCCTAATTTCCTATGATTCCTGATGTGAACTCCAAGCCCTGTAGCTCTCCTCATCTGCAGGAGCACCACTTGCCAACCTCCCCAGCTTTGCTGCTACTCTCCCTGCACCAGAAGCCCCCTTCTCACATCCAGCAGGTAAAATCCTGGCCACCTCTGCTGGCTCTCAGGGTTGCTTACTGGCTTGGACTTTCCTTTGCTAAACCCAAAGAATTTTGCCTTCCACCCTGTGAAGGTAAGTATGGCCGCATGACTTGTGGTCAGTGAGCAGGTGCAGAATCAGCAGGTCACTTCTGTTGGGAGTGGCGTCCAGTCGTGTCTCCCTTGCTGCCATGAGAAAGGATGTGGTGGTGTAGAGGTGACAGGGTGCCCAGCATCCCAGGCTTAGCCAGACCCCACACACAGCTACCCTGAGTCACTGAGCTGAATTGGGGGGTCTGCATTTTCGAGGGTACAGTAGAAAACATTTGTTGCGGTGAGCCCCTGAAATGTGGGCATTGCTTATTACACTTGGCCTGTCTGGACTCCAGGGCCATTGCCCTAAGGCCCAGCTCAGGTCCTCTGCCAGCTCAGAGCTCCCTGCTAACTGCTGTCAGAGGGCACCCCTTCCGCCACACTATCCCCTTGGTGACAATGCCCCAGCAGGTGGTCAAGCAGGTGCCGGCCGTTCAATGGCCAGGTGTCCTCCTGGAACTGAAATTTATCTGAATAACGGGCATGATTTCTCCTTGTGAAAGTCAGACAAACTCTACCCTACAGCAGCTTCTCTGCAGTGCTCCCTGTCCCTAAAGCCTTCAAAACCGGTGTCTTTTATTCTTGGTTAAAAACAAAACAAAACAAACAAACAAAAAAAAAACCTCTTCAAACTTAAGTTCAGACACTAAAGTTTTATTTTTGTGTGATTTGTAGAACAATTACAAGACTATATAAATAAGTATCTCACCTAATATTTCCACCAATGTGTAGTCTCCCAGAGTAAGGCACGGGTACATGTTCCCTCGTAAGATAGTTCACGTGGTAGAACATAGCTGTATAGTTGGATTGAATCACTGAAGATCAATACTCTTGTCTTTCTAAAGTGAATTTTTAACCAGAATGTTCACAAGCAAAATCAAATTAAAAGGCAATGAATTATAGGTTGAAATCATAAAATGAAAATTTTAAATTGCTATAATATGTGTACAGTTACTAAATGTATGAAAAGTTTTGGTTCCCAGGTTTTTTGTTTGCTTGTTTAATAAAGATTTACTTGTGTATCAAGGATGAAATTAGTAAATAGACATTTATTGTAAATTAATTCACATTTTTTTTTTGCTAGAAGGAGCCAATTTGTTGCCTAGGTAGTAAATGTCATGTTTAGGTGCATAGCTAAAGTAATTGTGCTTGCTTACATGGGAATGTGGCTCCTTCAGGAGAGGGGGGAAGCTACAGGGTGGTCAGAATACATTAGCAGTGGTATTAGATACCATATGGGTTTAATAATTTGAGATTGTAATTCCTTTGAGCAATTGAAGATATCATAGCATCTTTTAAAACATGCATCCAGCAGCCTGGTATGACAGAGTTCCACACGATGCTGGACTTGCCCTTGGATGGAGACTGCGGAAAGCAGCCCTCAGTTCAATATTAAGATGTCTTTTTTCAGAGAAAAGACCCAACTGTTGACTTTTTGTACAGTTGTGGAATAAAGAAGATCACAGCTTAATTTCAGTGTCTAAATACACTACATTAAAAAATGGAATTTCAGAAAGAGCTCAAGGGTGCACGCGCAAACACCGGACAGGGGTGGGCTCAGCTCCGAGTGAGGGAACCACTTACTGAAGACCACTCGTTCCAATGAAGCGAAGCCTGTGGAGATGCTTGTTCAAAGACCAAAGCCAAAATGCAAATGTCTACAGTTTGATAATTTGTTTTAATCATTGGGAAACAATCATAGGAGTGACAAAGCCTGTGATTCATTCCATCTTTAAAACATACCTTCTAACTTATGTTTTGTTCTGTCCCATTTTCTACACCACAAATCTACATTCCCCCAACACCTCCTATCCTTGAGATCACTGAGACTACAGATTAAAACTGACTTTCTGAGCATTGTAGCAAACTACAACCTCTGGGCCAAACTCAGCCTGCCTCTTGTTTTCATAGGCTTCATGAATGAAGAAAATCATTTTAAAACCTGGATATAAAATAATAGCTAATAAACAAATATGAAGATATAGAAGTCAAAGAGCAGGAAAATATCCCACCATTTGATTTGATTTCACTATCTGCTTGCTTTGTTAAAACCAAAGAGGAACCAGGCACAGCGGTACACACATTAATCCCAGCGCCTTGAGAGGCTGAGGCAGGAGGACTGCAAAGTTCGAGGTCAGTCTGGGCAATTTAGGGAAACCTGTCTCAAAATAAATGAATTAAGGGACTGGAGATGTAGCTGAGGGGTTTAGTCAGTCCTCAGTACCAAAAACAAGCAAATAAACAAAAACCCACACCAAACACTTCAAAAAGGACATCGTACTTCACTGAGAACAATGACAATTGACCCTAAAGAGAGTGTGTGGTCCCAGTGACATCCTCAACATTTTCTGCTGGCACACCAGGGTCCAGTATTTGCAGGTATTCATGACTCACTCAGAAAGTTCCAGCAACTGTGAAATACATGAATTTCCCCTGAAGTCACTTGGAGATTTCATACACAGGCCACTGGGGTGGAGGACTAATCCCTAACAAGGATTGCCTGAAGAAACAAGAATAAAAAAAATACCAGATGTCAGTTCTTAATTTGCAATTGTATTTTCTTAGGTGGAAATAGACAATAATTGTGAGTTCATTTCTACCTATTTTGGGGAAAGCACAGTGGTTAATTACTGAGTATGCTCAGCTGATCCAGGCAGAGGCTTGGAGGGTAACAGGAAGGTCACCACACACAGCGACTTGAAAACAAACGGCTGGGCCAGGCTCACCTGTACATTCTGCCTTCAGGTAAGAAATGCGGAAAGGGCTTTGGGAGCTTCCTGGATGATGTCACATGGTGGCTCTCCTGGCTAAACTGGCCATGGGCAGTCACCCGTTTCCCGTCTCCTGTGGGCTGGACTGCTTCCTTCCCAGGAGGCCAGGCTCACTGTGGCAGTGGGTGGTGATCTCCTGTGAATCCAGCCACACTCCCTTTCTGCATCACTCGCTTCGCTCTTAGTAACTGAGTTATTAAAGTAATTAATGCACATAGAAAGAGCACACCCCATAATTGAGCTGCTCGTTTACACCTGTGCGGACCCACCCAGACTGTCAAAACAGCAGCAGCCTACCACGCCCGTGCCTGCCTGTCCAGCCCCTCCACTCCCTGGCAGAGCCAAGCACAATCCTGACTTCTGACACCACAGAGTCACTTGTCTGGCAGGTGAAGTTTATGAAACTAGAATCACAGGATTTTTATTTGTGTGCCTGTTTGGCTTCTGCTCATGCGTGTGCCCCTGAGGGTCTGTGCAGTGCCCTGGGCCCACTCTGCCCTCGTGCCTGCTGTTGTGAGCACTGGGGCCATTTCCAGCCTTCTGGTCCGGAAGAGTGCTCTTGCGTGTTCTCTGTGCTGCATGCGCACACACTCAGGTGTGGGATTGTGCTTATGCACACACTTAGCAAACAATGCCAGGTCCCCGAGCACTTGAACCCATTGACATTCCCTTCAGTGCTACTCCAGGGCCTCCGTCGGCCACTGTCCTCAGATGTTCTGGTGGGCATGTCACGGGGTTTAGATGTATAGTTTTGGGGTCAAATTTATATTTTCCCATGTAGCTGTGTGATTTTTCCAAGAAGAATCTGTTGGAGAAGAAAATCCCCCACCGCACGGCCACCATCACACAGCTGAATGTCCCATGTGTGTCTGCCCAAACTAACTTTTCTTTTTCTCACTGCTTTAACTCCTCAAGCTTTATAATGAACTCTGCCGTCTGGTAGACTAAGTCCTTTGGACCTGCCTTGATTCTTTTGGCCTTCATTCTTCTATGTGAATCTTAGAATTACTGGTCAGCACAGAAAATCCTGCTGCAAGTTTTGTTTGGCTGCATTGTGTCTGTAGATCAATTTGTAGAGAACCGACATATTTAGAAAACCCTTTCTAATCCATGAACATAGTATATTCCTCCAATTTAACTACATCTTCCTAAACTTTCTCTCAGTGGAGTGGCCCAGTTCTGTCCGTGTAGTCCTTGTTTAGTGAGCTTTCGCACTGCTGTGATCAAAATATCTGACTGAACACTTTGAGTGGGGGGAGCTTATTTGAGGCTCAGAGTTTTAGAGCTGATTCCATAGAAGGCTGAGTCTGTTGCTCTGGACCCAAGTGAGGCAGCTCATCATGGGGAAGGGCCCAGGGAGGAAAGCTGCTGGCTCATGACCACCAGGGAGCAGAGAGAATAGGTGGACCTAAAAGTGGACACAGGTAAGATGCACCCTTCCAGTGCAACACCAGTGACCTACGTCCTCAAACCACACCCACCTGCCTGCAGTTACCACCCAGTCCATTCAAACTAGCAGGGACTGTGGGTTACAGCTCTTGTAATCCAATCCTTTCCCCTCTGAATATCCCTGCATTAACAGGAGCTTTGGGGGAATACCTCATATCCAAACCATAACAGTAATGGTGTAGAGTTCTGTCCAAATAGTCCTTGTGCAGCTTTTAAAAAATGATTTAATCCTAAATCTTTGATATTTTATGTTATTGTAAATATCTGTTTTAATATTTTATTTTCTAAGTGTTACTAATGCATAGACATATGATGGACTTTTAAGACATCCACCTTATGTCTGACAACTTTACTAAGCTCACTTCTTAATTCTAATAATTTTTATCTACATATACAATCCATTTTCTGCAAATAATGGTAGCCTGATTACCTCTTTGCCAAGCTTTGTAATGTATTGGTCTGATTAGGATGGCCAGTTTAGTGTAGAGTGGGTGTGGTAGTATATAAAATATTCTTGTTTACTTCCTAATCTCAGATGGAAAATCTTCAATAAGTCACTATTTAATGTTTTAAATATTTTTCATACCCTTTTAGAAAATACTTTTGTCATGATCATGGAGTACTCTCTATTCCTAGCTTGCTGTGTTTAATTCAATCACAAGTGCATTTAAATCATTTAAAATTTTTCTCTATCAATTGCATGATTATATCACTTTCCTCTTTTTATAATGTTAATGTGCTAGGACCTAGAATGAGCCCAAAACTTTACCATGTATCATCATTGTTATACAGGGCGACTATTGGTCTGCTGATATCTGTGACATTTTCATTGATATTCAAAGATGAGCCTACTGTTTTTCTTGTTGGGTTTGATGTCACAGTTATGCTGGTCTCAACGCTTGTGAGTGTCCCCCTCTTCTCTCCTTGTAGAATGTGCTTGGGTCTGGGGTTTTGTGTGGCTGGGGTGGCCAGGTCAGAGAGGGAGAGTGCTGCATACAGACACAAGTCCTTCAGCAGTTCTGGAGCTGTTCACATCGATTCCTTTCTGGGTTCAAACTGGCAAGTTTCTTCTTTCCAAGACGCTGTCCAGATCTTCAAATCTATGGGCCTGAAGCCACTCCTAGCGCCATCTCGAAATCCTTCTAATGTTTCAGGAATATCTAGTGAGGCCTCTCTCTTTTTATTCCTG